CAATTCAGTAATTCAAATGGCAGCTTTTAATGAGAATTGATTCCACTCAGATTTTAAACTCTTTTTGAAAATTAGTCACTGAATTAGTATAAAAATACAGTTTTTAAGGTGTTTACAGTAGATTGTAGGTATCTGTTTTAATAGACTTGTCTGTGTTAGTGCTGCCTAAAACCATGGGGTGCTTGTGCAAAACCCCAAACGTAAAAACCATCGTTTAGTTACAATATTCATCCACCTTTTTCTCTTGATCAGTACAGCAGTTAGGAATCCATAGTACTTTTATTGTTAGTTTAAGCTTTATTTTGTTTCTCTTTTCATGTCCTTAAGTCTTATTTCTCATCGCAGTTCTGTAAATATTCTTTAAACAACTATAGATATATTAGGATTATTATAGAGAAATGTTGATGAGTTTTAGAAGTTTGTTGTATTGCAAAGTGCGTTTTTAGGTGATTAAATTTGCAAAAGCTTCAGGGCTTGTGTGTTCTGGTTCTTAAGCCCAGGTAGGAATGGCACCGAGCGCTGCCCTCTTGGCAGCATCTTTCCAAGCTTCCCCCTTGGGAGCCCCGCGGCGCGTTTCTGGAAGGTTCCGGGGCTCTCGTGCCGTGCAGACGTTTCCCTTCCCAACGCGGCCGGGCTGTGCGAGTGCTTCCGTGCGTGAGAGAGAGGGGAGTAGTGAGGGTGTGCCGGGGGGACGGTGCCCGTCCCCGTAGAGCTGCGATGAATGTGGAGTAGCTGCTGCGCTCTGGGGACCATTTTGGGAGCCGGGCTGTGGGTACCAGCGGGGTGGGGCGGCTTCATGGCAGGGGGCTGCCTCTTGCTGTGCCCAGGGCAGAGAGGGAGAACATTCACCTCGGGCATCTTAACTTGGGGCACTTGGAAGACCAGAGTTACCCGATGGAGTTCTCATCGAGTCCCGGAGGAGTTACAGATGTCTCTGCAGCTGGGTGCTGTGGGGATGTTGTTGTTAACTCTTCTTTTTGGGACCAATAATGGCCCTTCTGGTGCGTTCTTTGTTGAGTCTGTTCATAATCAAACTCCTGAATTCAATAATAAATGCCTTGGGTGCTGCCTGGGCATTTAGAGCTCAGTTGCGTCACCACATTAAGGTGTTTTTTTACTTTAGGTGGGTTTTTTAAATATGTGGAATGCATGATATCCACATCCATAGATTTTTAAAGGCTTTGGGCATTTATCCTGTTACAATGTGCTTATTGTTATGTTTTTCAGTTCTGGTGCGTAAATTTTAAGTGCTGTAGGTTAAGATCTATTTTCCAGTTCACTCTAATCCTTCCTACATGTGTTCGCTCTGCTTTCCCCTGAGCAGGAC